CCGCCCCGCCCCGCCCGCCGCCGCTGCGGAGAGGGGGGCCGCCACCGCTGCCCCGGCCTCYGGGGACCTCTTCTTTATTATCATCATCATCATCAATGCTATTTATTATTACTCCTAGTGGCATATTCTTTTAATTTAATTTATTTTCATGATTTTGGCGGGGCCGATGATGAGAGCCCATCCACTCTGCTGCCCACCAGGACCTGGTCCCCAAACACCTCAGAGCCCTGGGGTTCTTCCCACCGTGTCCAGCACGGGCAGCACTCAGCCGGCGCTGCCAGCCAAGGGCATCGGTGATGCAGCCCAAAATGGGAGTAACCAAGTGCAGGGCTGCACCCCAGCCCCGGTTGGGTTTTTCTGGGGTGCTGGTTTGCTGGTCCTAGTGGAATGGAAAATCCCCGCACCCCACGCACCACCCGCCACGGCGACACGGCCGAACCTGTCCCTGGGGCGGGGGCATCCCCGCTCGACAGCCGTGTGCCCAYGCCGCCTCGACCGGGCAGGCGTGTTCTGCTGCTCCCTGGGCTGCTGGCCCCAGACACCCCGTTGCCATCGCTCTTCCCCACGGGTGGCTGGGCTGGGTTGTCAGGGGCAAGTGAGCCAAACCGGGCTGCTCCCATGGGACCTTGAACGGCTGCGGCACAGCTGGGACCTTGTGCAAACTCACCAGGCCACCCGGAAAAAACAGCCCCCTCTCACACTCTGCATTTTAAATCTGTTGGCGCCTCGGAAAAAGACTTGTCTGGGGGAGCTCTGAGAGTGAAGGGAACCAGTCACCTGTGTCCAGACATGGTTGTTTAGGCCATGTCTGTGCGGCACAGTAAAGAAATGGTCCCGCTGGCTTTGGCTATGGGGCAAAATGGTGTTTATATAAAGAGTTAATGAAATACAAAGCTGGCAGAAGGGGAGGAACCTATTGCAAAACAGCGCTGAAACCTTTTCCTTCTTGTGCTGGGCTTTGGGGCACAAGCCAGGGCAGCGGCAGGAGGACGTGCTGTCAGAATCGGGAGGGGGGGCACACCGCAACAAACCCCGATTCAGTGTCCATAGCCCCGTTGTGTAACACAGACAGATCGTCTTTGTCTCCCTTTTCTTTTTTTTYCCCCTTCCTTTTGAGCCCATTTTTTGTTCCAGCCAAAATCTCTGCCTAGCTTTTCCAGCTCCATCTCCCACTGTGCCAGCTGCCATTTTTCACCCTTTCCCGTGGCTTCCCATCTCTTTGCAAGTGTCTGGCTGGGGCAGAGGACATCTCCCCTTGGCAGTGGCACCTTTATCTCTGGCCACGCTGATGGCAATCGCGTGTCCCGAGCTGGGTACACTGGCAGTGGCTGTCACAATGGCACCTGTGCCAGCTGATGTAACCCTGTGTGGATTAACCCCCCCGGGAGGCTCAGGGGATAAGCTGGGTGCTGAGCCACCAGGCACTAAACAGCGTGCACAGCCCCAGGTCAATCCATCCCCTCCTCAGGAGCCACTTTTTTGGGTGTGAAGGAGTCAGCAGAAGTTCCCAGGGGATTTGGGAAGATGTTCTGGGGGCAGTGGTGTTTGTCCTTGCTGCATCCCTGGTCATGTGGAGGAGGTAGTGATGCCAGAGCCATGGGAGTTTTTGAGTGGGTGTGGGAAGAGTGAGCCGAAGATAAGTGGTGAGTGGCTGGGAACTTGTGCCTCATTTGCTCCACACCAGCAGTGGGTTGTCTCAACTCTCTTTTGGGGCTCACCAGGGCATCACTGTGCCAATCATCATGGGCAGGGGTGAGGCAGAAGGAGATTGGCAGCTCTTGCTGGGGAAAGGCAGGAAAGATCCCTTTCCTAAAAGGCTTTGAAGGGCTGAAGTGACAGGTCCAGGCACGCAAGGACAGTCCTGGGAAAGCAGCCTTGGTGGGGAAGATCATAGCTCATGTCTTCACCACGAGGCCAACCTTTTTATTTAAATTCCTTCCCCATCCCAGCTATCCTTACAACCTGCTTTCCTGGTTCAACAAACCACCAGCTCCAGCACCACCAAAAGCTAATGCTACACAGAATCAGAGCTGCACATCGATCCCCACATCAGCCTCGGCAGCACCCCGAAACACCCCAATCCAGCAGGGCACCCAGCCCTCATCACACCCACGACCCCACATCGTCCACCAGCACCTCTTCCTGGCGGGCTGCCCTGGCCAGGCAGTATCCCACCAGTGCCAGCACCTTCCCCAGGCGCCGGTCCAGCGCCCGCAGGTGAGGCTCGGCCAGGACAGGGGCCAGTGGATCTGCAGCCAGCGCCTCCCGTAGCAGGTCGCTCAGGCGGTAGGGCTGGGTGGCCAGCAGCTGAAGCCGCAGGTAAGTGGACTTCTTGATGCTGCCAGAGATGAGGAGGGAGAGGTCTCAATAGGCAGAACCTCACCCCAAAAGCAGACTCGGGGTGGGTGATGACTGCCCCTTACCTGCAGCATTGCTGGAGAGGGGCCAGAATGGACGGTTCATCGCGCGAGTGTGTGCCGAAGCTGGGGGTGAGGAGGAGCCCAGCGGGAGGTGTCAGGGAGGCATTTYGGCAAGACTGGAGGTCTCCCCCCACCCCTTTGCTGGGATTGCTCCCCAACTTTACCCACGACCGTTGTCCAGGTGGAGCAGGAAAGTGTCATTCCCAAATTTCTCAAAAGTCTCGTAGTGGTGCCGGTCCATGTTGCCTGTGGTGAGCCAACAAATTTGCCATCAGGTTGTGGGCTGGAACATAAGTGCAGGGACACTCTCCTTGTGTGAGACTGAAACCCAGAGCCTGGGAAAAGGGTTGGAGGCACCTCTGAGGCAYCCATCTGGTGGCCATGACCATGGAGGGGAACTGAGCAGAGACCCCACGGCCTCCAGGCCCCTTCTGATCCCAGGAGCCCCACAGAGGGACAAATGGAGCAGAAGTAATGGCAAAGGCATGGCTGGGTGGCCAGGAATGAGGAGATGGGAAACTCTCCAAGTCAGATGATGCTGAGGGGACAGCGCAGGCAGGCAGAAGTGGCCTAGGGACAGGAGAGGCAGCAAGAGCCCTGGGCAGCATCACCTCCGCCTCTGGCTCTCCAGAGGTGGCATGTGACAAGGTGCTTCCCATGTCCAGGGTATTCAGCTGGGGTCTCCCTGGAATCTCTTGACCTTTGACTTTAGACTGGGAAATTGGCACAGCCCTATGCTCTCATYGTGGGTAAGACTGTGGCTCACCGCAGCCTGAACAACAGTTTGGCCAACAAACCTTGCAGGGTATAGTACCACAGGACACGGAGCCATTTGGGCCTCTTGGTCCTGAAGGTCCTTCCCAGCCCTTACCACAGGCATGGAGGGGCTTACCCATGAGGAAATCCAGGACCGCCATGTCGATGAGGTCGAGAAGGCGATGGCCCCTGTCATAGGGCGGTGTCTCTCGCACCTGAGCGCAGTAGTTGGGATTCAGTTCCCACCTGGTGGCAGAGACCGGGAGGGGCACAAGGCCATGAGAGTGGCTGTGGAACAGGCCCCTCYCATGCCACGGCTCTGCTGGCCCGTGTCCCCACACCCCCTGTGCCCTGACTCACTCAGCCTTCTTGCTCTTGTGGTAGGAGCGGCGCCAGGGGCTGCGCCAGGAGCGGCGCTTGGCCAAGGTCTTGTCAGGGAGCAGGGCAGCCATGGAGCCCTCCAGCTGGTCTGGTTTGCCACAGAGGGCGTGCTCGGTAGAGCAGTAGTAGGAGCACTCTCCATAGAAGCAGATGTTACCCGCTGGCCATGGGGACAAAGCAAAGGTTGACAAAGAGAAGAAAGGCAACGAGCCTGCGACCCCCAGGCAGAGTGGTCCAGCAGGCAGCCAGAGGAGGATGCTCCATGCACTCTGGCCATCTGCCACCAGCAAGGCAATAGCAAGGGAGGCTGTGAGGAGCAAAGGCCTGTGGCAGGGTACCATGGGAGCTGGAACAGTCTCCAGCAGGATAGTTTGTCCCAGTGCAGGGGGAGCAGGGCAGCAGCAGCCAGCTCCAGGTGAGCTCCATCCAGGCGGCCACAGGGGAGGATGGAGGGCATGAAAGCTCACCTGGGGAGATGAAGAAAGTCTTGGCCAGTTTCTTGTCCGTGGTGATGTCACGAATCTCCTTTGTTATGTTGACCAACCGGCCAGAAACTGGGGGGATTCGCCGGAAATCCAGGATCCTGAAATCCAGAACTTGGAACCATTTCTTACTGACCTCAGCTGCTTTAATGACAGTGAGTTATTAAAACTGACAGGAGACACAGGTATCCCTCACAACAGGGAGCGAGAGGCGGGATAACRGAGCAGTTTCTCTGCTGCTTTGCCAGTATGAAAGGGCACAGTTGGATGCAAAGCTTATGCTCACCTGTCCAGGTGGAAGGCTGCAATTTCAGCATTGTGCCGCTCAAAGTCTGAGAAGTAGAAGAAATCAATAGGAGTCTCCTGGTCCCGGGTCTGCCTGGAAGGTGAGGGGACAGTGGGGGCAATCATCACGGATGGGGTCACTCCAAGCATGGGATTAGTTCCAAACCACCACTCACCTTGCATCCCTTGATGACACCGGAGACACAGCTAGACCCAGTCTCCTCCAGTCACTTCCTGATGGGTGGTTTGGCTCCAATCCCTGTATCCAAATTGTACCCCCTGCCTCCAGAGCAAGGGCGGGGAWGCCCTCATGGACTGGAGGCTCCTGGATGGTCCTCATGGACCACCTTCTTCTTTCCACCACTGGAGGTCACTACCCCATCACAAGCTGCTGCCAGTTTGCAGCAAGCACTGCCAGGGAAGGCAAGGGAAAGGGGACCTTTCTGCGCGCCTCRGTTTTGGGATGGAGGTGCTGAAGAGAGGCAGTGCATGAAGCATTTACCCTCTGGCCACTCCTCACTGCCTAACAGGACCATGTGGGTGGGACATAGGGTTGTCCCAGGTTCTACTTACTTCATGGGCTTGAAGAGGGCCTGCCCATAGTTTGGGAATGTCATGATGAGCTTGAGCTGGGTCCCGCCAGACTTCTGGACTGAAAGGAGGCACATGGGGGTGAGGGTCGCAGGCAGCAGGCAGTGGGGCAGGGGTGCAGGCAGGGGGACAGGCAGGGAGGTGGTACCTGAGCTGATGATCCTTTGCGTGGCCAAATCCCGGAGGAGCGTGGGCAACAAGGGGTCCTGGCGGGGGTACAGCTCATAGCGGTTGATGCCGATRTGGAATTTGAGCCAGGTGGGGTAGGTGTCATAGGCTGTCTTCCCTGTCGGGAGGAGCGTCTCTGCTTTACTGCTGCTGACCCTGCAGCACGACAGCCACCACCACCCCAACAACAATGACAGCTTTTAGTTGGGACAAGATGGGTCCCCTGTCCCCAGGCCCTTCCTGGGAACCAGTGCATGGAGGATGAGGTGTGGAGACAGCCTGGATGGGTTGCAGGTTTCATGGTGGTGGAAACCCCTGCCCCATATGGCCTCCGTGGGMCGTTTGGTACCTGGCAGATCCCACCCCGGATTTGGCCAGGTTGGTGAGTTTGGCCAGGATGACCCATCAGCATGCCTGGATGGGACACAGTGCCTTCCCTCCATCCCCCATGGAAAACCCCTGGGCTGATCCTGCTTCTCATCCATGCATTTATTTCCCAGCTGGAACAGATCATCTCACTGTTTCTCCCCAAGGGATTAGCTCCCAGGAGTACGATCTGCTACACCCCTCCATGTGCTCACTGGGGACACATGTGTGTCCACAGAACAAGGGTGGAGAAGCATGGRCTTCCCAGCCATCCGCAGCACTGACCTGAACTCCCATCCTCAACAAACCAGTCCCCGTGGGTGGGTTTATCACACATCCCTGGTTTCCCCAGACAGGCAAATTTGGGTCAGCACTATCCGTGTCTCTGTGTATCCTGCAAATTTGCAGTTTACTGGCATTCAAGGGAGGCCCTGGGCCTATCTGCCCCACCTCTGTGCTAGCACACACTTGCACTGCAATGGGACAGTTCGCCCAGAGCATCTGTAACCCAAATCCATGTCTCTCGAGGAAAACACAGACTGTGCATCGATTTCACAAAACCAGACCCAAGGCTACCCATAGGTGGTCCTCAGAGACAAGGCAAATGCCCATTTGTGGAAACCAGCTCTTAAATCAGCTTTTATTCTCTCCTATTTCTAGCAGGCGTTTGGAAGGTGCGCGTTCTCTAAGGAAGCTGCTACGTGTTACAATGCTAAAGCTTTTAATATCTTCCCTTCTAATTAGAGGTTAGTAGTCCAAAGATAAAAATAGGCAACCGTTAGCAGTGAGCTCAGCATATGGCTGAGCCTAAAGAGGTCAGGCAATATCCTGCAAAATGCAGAACAGGAATGGTCTTACAGTTAGAAGTAACCTACATCGCAGGCTTTGCATCTTCAACATATTGAGAGAAGGGGATAAAACTGGTTAGAAATCTGGAGCAGGGACTTCCTCATATACAGGGACAAACTAAGGTTAGTCTGCATTGGGGAAGGGAAGGAGCTGAGGARATCACCAAATAGATATCCAGAATACAGTGAAAAATTCAGGAGTCTCCTTTGGCTTTGCTGTGTGCAGCAGGCTTATGGGTAGCAGCCCAAAATTTCAGGGCTAAGAGAGGATTTGAGGTATGCTCAGTAATGGGGCCCCTCTTGGGGTAGAATGCTGATCTACATGAGAAAACTACGTGTTTGGCCCCCGCTGCTTGTCCCCTCAAACCCACATATACCCCAAATGTAAGCTGGAGTTGAGCTTGCTCCTCACCATTCATCACTCTCGTTGCTGCGSAGGCTGAACTTCTCCATAGGGTTGACGATAAACAGCTTGTCTTTCTCTGTCACCTCTGGGATTGGGATCTTGTAAAGAGGATGTTCGAAGAGTGCTGCCAGCTTTGATCCCTTGGTCCACCCTTCATTCCCCTCTTCGTGCTGCTGTTGGACCCCTGGCTCTCCAGCCCTTATGTGCAGCCCTGCTTTCTGTGGCTGGGAGCTTTTCTCCAAGGAGCCATTGCTTCCACTGAAATCCTGAAGGATTCGCAGGCTCAGCTTTGTGAGGCCAGCCAGCATGGGACTGCCGGATGGGACACCCACGGCTTTTGGTGCTTTCACATCGCAGCTGCAGGGGCTCTGCGCTGTGGGGAAAGCAAAATCCAGCACCAGGTGCACGAGAAGGGCCAAGAGAAGAAGAAAGAGAAGACTGATCTTAAATTTCCTCTGGAAAAGTGTTTGCAGCCGGCACCGCATCCTTCCTCACACAAAACACTCAGCAAGAAGTGGGCACCCACACGAGGTTAAAAATATTGGTGTGGCTGCAGCCCCTGTGCAAAAATAGGAGAGAGGTTTCCTGCATTTAGAGCATCGCAGCAAAAGAGCAACTGGTGCACGGGCAGAGTTACAGGAAAGATCTGTCACCACGGAACCTCATGGTATGACACACCCAGGATGGGACAGGAGGTTGTGGAGGGGTTTATCAGCACTGATAAGGGTCAAGCTGGCATTGCCAAGGTTAGGGTGAACGGGGCAATATCCAAATCAATAGCTGCAAGGCTGGCTCAGGGACAGCAATGGCTGCAGATGGCCCTCCACTGTCCTGTCTCTCTGTGCTGTCATCTGTGCAGGGCTGCAGGACATTTCCTTGAATACAGGACATTAAAATGGTTCTGCCTCTTTGCAGCACATACCCTGCCAAGCACTATGTAGTCCCATTCCCTATGTTCATCAGAGCTGCACTCTCAGAATCCAGAAGGATTTTTTTTTCCCATTGCTTGGCCAAATCAGTTTTATCACCCTCTCCCATTCATTTGACATCAATTGTACTCAATACACCTCTTAAAAAAAACACTCGAATTGGATAAAACAAAGGGGATGTGAGAATCAGCATTGGTGTGAGGGGAAATGCTGGACCGGCAGTGTAAGGAAGGGCTACCAGGCAGGTGAGTTTCATGGAAAGGGATGCTTCCAGGGCCTCTAAAGCAGGAAGGGGAGGCAGGCAGGAGTAGGGATAGTGCCTTGGGCATCAGCACAGAGGAGCAGTGCAAGTCACCAGGTGCTGGGGAGGACTGGCAGCTTGCGGAAGAAAAAGGTATTTCTTTTTACAAGAAATTCCCTTTTTCAGTGACACCCAGGGACACAGAGCTGGAATGCGTGCACAMAAATGGTCCATGATTTGTAGGGATGGAGCTTTGTATTTGAAAACGCACAGAGAAGCACARGACCACCTGCAACAAGTCTGGGGGCTGGGATACAGTCTGGCACAATGTTCCTTCTCTCTTTGATCTTCCAAAGGATGCAGAAGTCCCATACATCACGTAGTCCTTCCTTGCCGTTATTGCACCAGCGACCAGCTTGGAAATCCTCACCTCCAGCCAGGGAGGGTACGATGATCAGTGTGCAGGAGGGGATATTCTGCAGACACCCTCATCTGCTGCCATCCCTGCACTACCCTCCCCGCACCGTCCCGTGCCGACTCCCTCCCAGGCGGTGCTCTGAGAACGCGGTGTCCCCGGCGTTCTTGGCTCGCGTGTCCCACGGCGCGACAGTTGCCTGGAAACCGCCTCCGGCTGACACCATCAGCCGCCCCAGATTCAGCCAGCCCCGTGTTCCCGGGCCTTCTGCTGACAAGATGGCCGAGGAGAGCCGGGGCAAGCGAGGAGGAGGAGGAGAGCTTTGCAGCCCGGCTCGCGAGCTCGAAGCCCCGAAGAAGCTGCGTGGAGGGGAGCAGATGGCTTCCCTGGGGAAGGGAACACAGCGTCTGGCTCCGGGAAGTTTGCTGAATCCGGTCCGGACACACGGTTCAGAAAGAAGGCCCCTAGGAGGGGCTGTAACTGGAACATGGGATCATTAGGCTCAGAAAAAAAAAACAAAAACCCAACCAACCAAAACACCAACTCCGTGTACTAACTGATTGCATCAAAGGAGCTGGGCTCGGCTCCCGGAGCAGTGCCACAGATGTCTTTATTCCAGAGCCAGCCCTGGAGACTGAGAAAAGAGGGAGATCTCCTGGTGTCCCAAACAAGCTCCAAACTGAGCTGGAGGGGATAGAAACCTCCTTCCCATGTCCTAGAGTCAGATAGGCACGGGGACCCTCTGGGCTGAAGCCACCCTACTGACTGTTAGTGCCATTCCCATATAATGAAACTTGCAATCCTACCCTCTCACCCTGATTTAGCATCCCATTGGAAAGCAAAGGCAGGGGGCTTAGGTGAGGCATKTACCACCCTTAGCACTTCAATGCTGGCATTAAATATTAACCTAAAGATTTTTCAGCAAGTCAGACATGAGCCTGCAGCAACGGAGAAGAGCTGGAGACTTTCAAAGCCTGCCCTGATCACCTGACAAGCACTTTGTACCTTGTTGCCATGACATCATCATAGAGATGTGATTGAATTTGCACCTCTTTCTTCTCCTCTCTCCCCTCCAGCTCTTCCTCCATCTTCCCAGCAGGTTCGAGTCACCCTTGGTGTGGAGGAGGAGCCCTACATCCGAGGACATTTTCACTGCTGCCTCCAAATCAGGACTCATCGGCAGCTGATAATGATGTTGCCTATCTCCCCTCAGCAGGGAAGGATGAAGTCATGAAGCACAGCCTCTGAGCTGCTATCACAGCTTTAGGGGATGGGTGAATAAAAAGTAATTTTGGCTGGCACCCATCCATCACCCTGCATTTTTCATCTCATTTTCTACATCTGACTCAGCCTGATGCTTTGATGGGTAATGGCAGCAATAAGCAGGGGGGCAAGAAATGAGAGGGAAACACAATAGCAAGCAAACTGTTGCCAACTTTCCCAGCTTTCCACTGAAAATCCGTAAGGAAAAATCTTCCAGCAAATAAGAGCAGTTTTACGATAAAAAGCAGAGAGGCCTTAGAGGCGCCCAAGTATTATGGAATCATAGTTTGGGTTGGTCACCCAGTCCAATGCCCCTGCAATGAGCAGAGACACCTTGAACTAGATTATATCGCTCAGAGCCTCATCCATCCTATCCCTGAATGCTTCCAGGGGTGGGGCACCCACCCCATCTCTGGGCAGCCTGTTCCAGTGTTTCACCACCTTTATTCTAAAAGACTTCTTCCCTACATCCAATCTAGAACAAACTTATTTTAGTTTAAAACCTCTAACCCTCACCCTATCACAACAGGCCCTGCCAAAAAGTGCTTCTCCAGCCTTCTTGTTGACAMCCTTTATGTACTGGTAGGTGCTACAAGRTCTCTCCAGAGCCTTRTCTTCTCCAGGCTGAACAGCTCCAACCCTCTCTGCTTGTCTTCATAGCAGAGGTGCTCCAGCCCTTTGAATCATCTTCATGGCCTCCTCTGGACTGGATCCAGCAGGTTCATCAGCTGCAGAGGGTCTCTTGTGGGAAAACACAGGACAAGGGACCATCTCTGATCCATAAACCTTACTCCTTTGAAAACTACAGGTCTGCGCAAAAATGTTCCAGCTCCACAGCAGAAGGAGGGCAAAAGCCTTTTTTCTAACACACAGGGTCCAGCAAAGCATGGCTCAACTTACAACAGGCAGGACAATTGATCTTATTAAACACTTGCCTCAAGGCAGGGGTCCTGACACAYTTAACTGAATTTTGGGAGGCTGAGGCTTGCACTTTCAGGTAGCATGCCAATGACAGGCATGTAAACCAGCTAACAAGGGTTTGCCTCTTCATGGTAACTTCCTGTAGGAAAGCTGTTACCCTTTGGAACAAAAGTAGCCCGCCACTCTCCTGTGAGCCACCTTGCACTTACCTAGCAAGAATGGCAATGGGAGCTGACTTGCTGCATATTCACACCCAGCTCACCTCAATCTGTTTGCACACTCAGGCTTTGAGAAGGCTGGGGAGCAGTCACCATTCCCTTGTAGTCAATGCAGGTCATGGAGACATTGGCTTTGATCAGCTGGTGGTGAAGGAGATAAACAGGCAGCAAGTCCAAGAGAATGTGTGCTGAGGTAAGCAGCTCCCTGTGGTCATCTGCAGGTCACCATGACCCTGCAGAGTCACCCATGACCACTGTGTACATGCATATGCACAGAGCAGTTAATTATTCATTAGTGTGAAAGAGGCACAATTAAAGTGACCATGGTATGGCTGAAGGTATTATCCCACTCCAGCGTGGGGCATTCCAAAGACATTGGCTTTACCTCTTTCTCTGAATTTAGATGAGACAGCTGCAAAAGAGAAAATAATCTTTTCCACCTGCCAGCTGCAGAAAAGTGTTGCCAACAGCACTATCTTCATGTAAAGGCAGCCAGCTGGAGGGACACAGAGCAATTGCACAATGAGACAGCTCAAAGGATTTGGGCTCTTCTACATGGCACAGCAATCCTGATCATAGGGCAGGTATCATGGTACCAACCTACCTTGGCCCAGCCAAGCACAGATAGTCCAGATTTGAAATAGTTCTTAGCTGTCTTCATATTACTCCAATTCCTGCTCYGTGACATAATGAAATTGAGAAAGGACCTCTCTAGTATTAACACTGAAGTTCATAAAAGGAAAAAATAGGAATTTGTAAGACCAGGTTCCTCCACCACAGGCATTAATGCAGAAAGATCCTTCAGACTTGAACTAKGGACTAGAGGTGTCAGCTGGCAACATTCTGAGAGGAAATCTGAAAATTAAGGAAGCCACAAATATGAGATTCCAACAAGTCAGCTGAGGCACACTTGTAAGGCAGCAGACACAGCTACATTCCCTTGCAGCTAGAGACTGAGGGATGTAGCCAGCAACCCCGTGGGCCTGGCAACCTTCCTCATCATCATGGCTTGCACTGGTAAAATTAACTGAACAGGGAGGATGAGAGTCACACAGAAAACCTGCAGGATGGAGATCTGTCACTATCCTCTGCCTGTGCTACATCATTGCTTACTTATTTCCATGTTTCTCAAACTACTTTGCCTACATAAACACACACAAAGACATTTTACTAAATTTTTATTGCAAAAAACACAGTTCCTCAGGTTTTATAAATAACCATACACGTAACATAGTTACGCTAATTTGATCTTCCAACACCAACAGCTTTAAAAAATGAAATAGGCTAAAAGAATGCAAGTCCAAAAAGACATTASGTTTCTGATGATCAAGTTAGATTTCACATGGAGCCTGCTTCCTCTGTCAGCCTCCAAACAAGATGCTGAAAGTACACAGCACTTGCAACACCCCCAGGAACTGACAGGGAGGCATTTGAGCCTTAAAAAGAGCTCTCACCCACTCCCCAGGCGTTGTCAGCCGCCTGTGTTTTCATGCTGTCTCAGTGTGCACCGTGGGTGAGAAAGGAGGGGGCAGTTTGCATAGCAACCTCCTACACCCAGGCAGCTCAGCTGTTGTACCCTCCCAAAACAGCAAGGAAGGGCAAGCTGGGACTGCATCTCTGTGGCTYACACCTCCACAAGCAGCCTGAAGATCTGCAGGCTGTCAGATCTGCACAGACATCTTGGAAGGGAGGAAGAATGTATAGGCAGCATCCAGAGAGAGGAAAGACAGGTGCTGGTCACAGCCATACTGCATGGTAGTGGAGAAAGCAGAGGAGAGAGGAAACTATGTGGAGTAAGTGGGAGTTAAAGAAACCATAGGGCTAGATAGCACCTTTTTGCTTTTGCTTTCCCCTGCTAGTGCTGCTGTGCAGCTTATTGTGAGATTACTTCTTCCTCAACTTCCCTCCTGCTTCAGCTCAAACTCCAAGGAAAGAGCCAGACAGATGAGAAATCTCACAAGGACAGGACAGTTTAGCAAGTTCATACATACACATGCACCAACTTTATGTATTTATGTACTTACTGTTACGTCAGTATGAAAAAAAAGAAATCCTGACATTTGAGTATTAAAAATAAAGCCCCACCTCCAGATCATACAAAACTTGTCAAGAGTAGGAAGAAATCTCTTGTATTCAGCAAGTCTGAGACCTGGCCAGGGGTCAGGAGCACTTCCAGACGCACACGGCCAGGCTGCCACCAAAGAACATGTACAGCAAGTTCTTCACCTCGTGAGTGATCTCAAAGCCAAAACCTTCTCCAATCACCACATGCCAAGAGGACCCAAATTTCTTGTCCATCGTCTCTTTGATCATCTTGGCAGCACTCTGGAGAACAGAGGAAAGAAGAGAGCATAGGATGAGACAAAGCAACCAGAGAGGTTTTATGCAAACATGCCCCTAGTCTTCTCCTCTCTCTAAGACTACTCAAGCCATGGGCAAAAGACATAGCAGCTGCACTGCAGGAATTGGGAACTCCCTAGAGCTACACTCAAGGGTAAAACAGGTCTCAGCAGCCTCTTGCACAGCAGCTAGGAGAAATTAAAGAGCTGCCTCACTTCYGTTGTTCCAACAGTCTGAAGCAAGAATTCCGTTTTATTGCTGCTAGAGGTATGCTGGTTGCTGTGACCATGGGGGAGATTCAGGTCACTAAGCTGCAGCTATTTTTACAGGAGTTAATTTTTTTTTTTCTCCAGCTAATTACCAAAACACTGAAGGTAGGCTGACTTTATAAGGCTCACTTCTCCCAGGTCACACCCTGCTTGGTCCACAAAAAAGTGAGAGGAAGGTTTTTCAGTGACATCCAGTCCTAAAGCCAAGAGGGAACACTTAACAGACTTTCATGTACTCATCCTCAAAACAAGAGACTTCAYGCAGCTCTGAACCAAGCCCTCAGGACCAGGGCATTTTATGAACAGAGTGGAAGCATGTCTCAGGAAGGAAGGAGCAGCTAAGAGGTATGGTTTGGGAGCCAGCACCACTACTAATCTCTGCAAAGTGCTATTATGGATCTTGCAGACCAAGGGAACTAAATCTGAGATATAGCCAAGCTCTTTGCCTCCTTCTACCCTTGCTCAGTGCAGGGAGAGAATAATAGGATGCCAGGACCTGACCTGCTCTGCACCATTATCCCTGTTCCTGCAGGTTGCCTGAGCTGTAGTGACAGGGGGCTGGCCATTTTGGAATGTGGCTAGTACCTCATTGTTGGTGGCAAACTTCTCACACGCCGTGACACACAGCTCCATAGTCTCTATGCGCATCTCCTCCGGCATGTCYGAGTGCTGGAAAGAGCAAACAAATGAGACAAACTAAGCAGAAAAATAAGAGCTGGACACAAGACAACAGTAAGTAGCTCTTACTTCTGCACTGCCTCTAACGGGTGCTCAGACATAGTAAATATGAAAATGGCTTATTGAATTATGAGTGAATCATTCCTCCAGCCAATGAGGAATTTTTCTCTACCTACATGAAAACTAGCACTCTGTAACCACAGCTTAAAGGAGGAGGTCAAGACATCTGCCGGTTTTTCTGCTGCAAGATAAAGGGAAAGCACATTAATACTGTTTCAACCACAGTCCTTAATTATTGCTATATGAGTAATATTGCTAAATTACACAGCCTTTTCTTCGGCTGCTGACTGGCTAGCAAGATCTTTTGCTCCAGCTTCTCTAGGAGAAAAAGCAAGCTGCATTCAAAACATGGAGAGGGCTCCAAAGGCAGTGTGCTCAATTTATTAGATGGATCACTTTGCCCCAGGTTTCCTCTGGCTGACATGGGGAACACCGGTGCTAATAGAGTTCCCCGGCAGAGGACAARGGAGAAAGCAGCAGTGACAGCCAGGGATCTTCCACAGGACCATCAATATACATATTCTCACAGCAGCTACTCAGTAGGGGAAGGCTAGTAAGAATGAAGACAGATTTTGATATCTTTGACACTGGTAAATGTGTAATCCATCCCCCTCCTTACCCTAATCAGAGGAAAACTGTGAAGCCTCTTATAATCAGCCTCGTCCTTTTTTTCCTCCTCAGTTTCTTCCATGGTCCTTCCAGAGAGACTCCAGGAAGGGGTGGAGGGGCTACCTGGAGTTCAGCTACAGCACAGCCAGCTGAGAGGAACAGGGCTCTATGTTCCTCTCTGACCAGCTTCAGCAGGAGGAGTTGCTTCTTGCCCTAGAGGACAGTGCTTCAACAAACACCAGCAAGAGACAGAAGGCTATGAATTAAAAAAAAGCAGATGAAACTATTACGAGAATATCATGCTTTCTCAACACTACCTTCACACCCTACTGAAAGTCTTAGCTCACAGACAATGCAAACAAATTTTAAAACCATGTCTTTTTCCATAAGTGAGGCTTCAAGAGCACAGCACTTCCCAGAAGCACCGATGGAGCTTGAGGGAAGAGCTAAGCCAAGGCATAGCTTTCAGAGGACAAGAGAACAATATATAAGCTGCTACTACTCTTGATTAATTCTAAAAGGATTTTCCCAGTATATTATTATCAGCAAGAGTTTCAAACTGCACATGACAAGAGAAGGCTAGGAGTATTTTAGACACAGGATCTGCGTGCTTGTCTGGATGGAAATGTTTAACAGGAACATCTTGGTCTCGTTTGTGTACTTGCTCCTCAAATCCCCGAGCATTTGTCAGCTAGGGAAAGCCATATGGGAAAATTCTGGACGTGCCTCTGGGCCTCATTACCAGCCTGCCTCTACTTGGACAACGCAGAGGCACAGCACTGACTGAGAGATTCGGAGCATTTCACCGTGATCTTCCCTCTCGTTCTTTCACTCTCAACAAAGCATCTTCTTCTTCTACCCAGGAGGAGCAAGGGCAAGCCCATATTAAAAGGAAAACGAAACACAGCCAGGCGACGCACCAATCATTTATGCTACATACACAGAACTGTTGGCTTAAGCACCAAGTCAGACAGACCACCAACCTTCATATAAGGGCCTTGGTACCCGCAGGTGGCCCAAACCACGACCTCGCGACAGAACCCTCGCGAGCCACTTCAATACCCAGCCCCAACCCGGGGCGTGTCCGCGGCCACAGCCCGAGGGTGTGAGGCAGCGGAACGCGGCCCGAACGGACCGCACACCCGAAGGAGCCCCACCACGCCGGTTCGCCGCCCTCGGCCCCGCGGAGGAAGAGCTCGGCCAGCGGCGCTAAGCGGGACGGCGGAGCCCAGGGCGCGGCCTCACCTGCAGCCGCCGCGGCCCAGCGCCGTTGCTAAGGAAGAGCCGCGCTTGTCATAGCAACCGGCGCGGGAAGTCCCGCCCCCTCGGCGGCCATTGGACGGAGCGCGCCGCCCGCCGCGTCTGATTGGCGGCCTCCCTGCCCGCCACCGCGCGGGGCCTTGGGGCGCTGGCGGCGGTGGGGTGGCCACGGAGCGCCTGTGCTCGGCCCCTCCGCCCACAGCCTGGCGTCTGGCAACTTCATCTTTTTCTCACTTTAAACCTCTTAGGGGCCTAGTTCTACATTTTTTTTTCTTTTAAACAATAAGAATAAATAAAAGAACGAGGAACGATTTTGGGAAATTTTGTTTTTTTAAAAATCACAGAATGAGGTTGGAAAAGCCCTCTGAGATCATGGAATCSAACCTATGACCGAACACCCGCTTGTCAACCAGACCATGGCACCGAGTGCCACATCCACTCTTTCCTTAAACACCTCCAGGGACGGTGACTCCACCACMTGCCTTGCAGCCCATCCCTGTGTCTAATCACCATTTCTGTGAAGAAATGTCTCCTAATGTCCAACCTGAACCTCCCCTTAAGCTGCAGCTTAAGGCTCTGTGCTCTTGTCCTGTCTGATTGCTTGGGAGAAGGGAACGACCCCTGCCTGGAAAGCATCCTTTCATGGACTTGAGAGAGTGATAAGGTCTCCCCTGAGCCTCCTTCCTCCTTGGGAAGGAGCTAATCCTCACAGAACTTGTGCTCCAGACCCTTCACCGAGTCCATTGCCCTTCTCTGGACATGCCCCAGCACCTCAATGACCTTCCTGAACKGAGGGTTCCAGAACTGGACACAGTTCGCATTGTGTGGGAGAGGCAACAGCTCATGTCTGCATGTAGATAGGAGCATAAAGAAGGAGAAAGTGATGCTGTGGGGATGAATCATGAGTTTGCTAACAGCTCCTATAGCACCAGCCTCCATCCCCACTGAGAAAATCGCCTCCCTCCCACCCGCCGTAGCTTTGTGCTTGTAATGTCTGTTTGTTTTGAAGTTTTCCTTGGCTCTGGGCTTGCTATGAAACCTCTGTTGTCTCTGCACCTTGCTAGCCAAACACTGATTGCCTCTAAACCAGGACTTAAACATTTTTCAAGGTGGTCAAGGATTGTATTCATCTGAAATTAATACAGATGGAGAAACAGCAAGCTCCAGGATAATACCAAGGGAAAGAGTTTTCCTGTGCAAAGCCCCAGCTGCTGGGTGTGATGCCTGTGTTTTCATCAGTGGCTGTCTTTTTCTTGCAGAGTGGCTCGTGGTCTGGTTTTTCATGTGGTCCTTCTGGCTGGTGTGTGCTTGAAAGGTTCTTGCTGCTTGCTGTCTGCTGAGAGATGAATTTGCTTTCCAGCTGTTTGAGAAGAAGAGTGGGGGAGGAACAGACTGGGCTGTTCCTACCCCTGCCAGSTCATGAATCCTCTTCCCTCACTATAGCACCAAGCTCTGCCCTATGATCACATGGAGAACACCTTGTTATCTCTTTCACAGGTTCAGCAGTGAATCCGACCTCCTGGCTGTCCTTTGCCTGACAGAGCAGTGCTGGAGGCAAGGAAGCTGTCTTTGGGCTCAGAAAGACAAAGCTGCAGAGGTCATTCATCTTTTCCTTTGCTATCACTGCTGGTGGTGACAAAAATGAAGCACTGCCTCCTGTGCCACTCATTCTCCTACCATTCCTTGCCTCCTGGGTGAATTCCTGCTCCTTCCTCTTTTGGGCATCTTGCAATGAGGCAGGCACAGAGCTAAAATTGTCAAGAGACAGATAAAAGCTGGGAGATCATAGTTTTTTCTTTTCAGACAAGATAATTAGGAAGAGAATCTCTGCAAGGAAGMAGATCTTTCCATCATCATTACTTTATCTCCAGGCAGCTACTCTAATCTCTCCAGGGACACGGCGCTTTCAAGCACCGTATTCTTGCTGTAGGGTTTTTTTTTAATGCTTTAATCCCTGTATAGTTCACCCACTTTTACTACCAAGCAGCAAGTGAGTGTGAGCTGGTGTTTGTGTGCATGTGCCTCTGTGTGGGGCAGGGGGGAGCACATATGTGTGATTCTGGGTTCAATTAATCATRCTTTAGTCCTGATCCATACGACCCCAGGGAGTATGAGTATTTTCCTTGGGAAATGCTGGATCTGGTTGTGAGGATTATTCATCAGTGGTCAGCTTCTCCTAGGTGAGAAGCTAAGGGAAAATGGCCAAACAAAACCTGCAGTGGACCCAAAGATAGAAAAAACAACGTTTTTGTGAATGAGGGGGTGATACAGTGGGGCTGCAAGATAGAGATGCCTCCTGAAGAAGGAGARCATCCTGCTGGCCTATCTACTGTGGCTTAACAAAATGTGAGCAGTTGGTTTCTGGATCCTCAAGTGCAGGGTTTCCGTGTAACTCTGCAAGCCAGTCAGAGCCTTGTTGAACCAACAAGGTTATATGTGCTTGTCCTTTTGCTGCTGGCTCCGAAGGCAGAGACATCACCTGGGCTTTAGTTTCCAATACCAAATGAYCAGGTACACTTCTGCAGGTAAAAGCAAGTCCAGAGCAGGATTCCAATTCACCCCTGTGGATCTGTAGGGAGCTGGAATTGTTGCTTTGCTCTAGGTGGTCATTCCTTATTGCCACTAATCACAGATACAAACTCTTTCATCCCTTTGTTTTCAGCAGCCACAGTGAAATGCATGGACACAGAGTGCCATTTGTGTCCTGACATAAGGGTGTGTTGTACTACTTAGCTGAGCACAGAAAAGTAGCCACTGACTGCAAAATATTCATACATGTAACAAATGCACTGCCTCATGCTTTCTTTTAGCCATCTTCATTGACCACATGCCAGGCTGACTCTTCATTGGGCAGAGAGCACTTTTCTTTCTTTTCTTTCTTTTCTTTCTTTTCTTTCTTTTCTTTCTTTTCTTTCTTTTCTTTCTTTTCTTTCTTTTCTTTCTTTTCTTTCTTTTCTTTCTTTYCCWCTTKTGGCCAGGTTTTGGGACTTCCCTGTCATCCCAATGGGCACAGGCTCTGCCTTGCCCCATCTCCTCTTTGTGATAAAGCAGGGGGACTGGAGCTTGCTGCCCAGCCTGTCAGCCACATCCCAGGGACTGGGCACCACTCCACACTGCCTTGGATAGCAACAGAGGCCAAGGCTGGGGACTTGGGTCAYACTGAGTTCTGCCCTGCAACTGCCCCAGGATGGTGTGGATGCAGCCCTCTGGAGGCAGGAGCAGCATTCAGGAGGCCCTGTGGGGATGCTGAAGCCACATTTCTCTGGGATCAGAACCCCCACCATGTTGAGCTGAGGGAAGGCAGAGATGGGGATGCTGGTGTGCAGGAATGGGTGGCATCCAGAAGCAGCTCAGCCTCTGCACCGGAGGACAGGGAGGACAGGGCAGCTTGCTTTGGGACAGCTGGATCTCCTGGTTTGCTGGAAAACATAGTGCCTCACATGATCCCGTAGCTWCTACCTCTAGTAACAACAGCCACAGTTAGTAAGTTCTGTTGCTGCAGTACTAGCAGCCATGCGGGGGCTGTTCCTGTGCCAGATGCTCTGGAATCATGGCACATTGTCTGTGCAAGCACAAGTCTTAATGAGCCTTCCTGGCTCTGGGAGGGAGCAGAGGAGGCTCCCAGCAGGACAGGGAGGTGAAAGGAGGCAATTAGGCAGCGCCCCATCGCTAGGGCAGAGCAGGTAATGGGGACTTTGGAAGTTCCTGCTGGGGACAAGTATGGGCTGGCTTGACCTCGTTTGAGGGACCAGGAGGCTGACACACTGCAGGCACCTGTGACATGCAAACTCTGCTGAGGTTGCAGGTACTGGGGAGGATGACAAGTCCCCCAGTCCCAGAGGATGACAAGTCCCCAAAGCCCACTCTGAGGTCGGAGGTCCCAGGATTGCTGATGTCCCTGGGAAAGCAGAGCCTGTGTGGCCAGTGGTGCCCTCTGGAAAGAGGGGCAGGGGCTTGAGGGATTCAGAAATTTCAGTGTTTTCTTTTCAAACACAATAATTAATAGCCTTCGGGYCTGAAAGTTCTCCATTGCCATATTTGACTTAATCTTCTTCACTGCAGGACAAAACCCCTTGGGAGTATGTGGTATTTGAGTCTGGCTAAGCCCTTGGCTAGCAGAAAGATCTGCAGCAGCAAGTCCTGCAGATTATGAAAGGAAATGGCAGTCTCTTCCCTCTCCTAGAAGTGTGTTTACAACCCCTTGGCAGGGACATAGAGGACAGCACATGCCCCTGCCTTGCACTGCCTACTTTTTGAGTGCCCTCCACCTTTCCCCCCCATGCTGGATATCCAGACACAACACAGCCAACAAGCTGCAGCACCTACCAGAATCACAAAACCTTCTTCTCCACACCATTGTTAAAAAATCCCTTCTTTACCCCCCCTCTTCCACCCACGGGTGACTTTGTTGTTCCTCGTCTCTTCTGCACACAACRTGTTGTTTTCCAGCCAGCTGCCCTTAGAGAGACGTGGGGCTTCTCCTGAGTGCTCCTGGTTAATTTAGAAGCAAGCAGTATGTGTAAGTCATTGTAATTACTCCTTCCAGCCAGCAACACTATTGATTTGTCATCTCCTCTACCTTTTAAGCCCTGTCGCAGGTTTGCAGCTCTTGGAAGGCTCAGGTTAATGAAAAGAAATGGTCTCATCTTTCTCTTCTCCTCAGATGGGTCAGAAGCAGACGTTGCTTTCTGCAGACAGCCAGGGCAGGATGGAAATCAAATATTTATTTCTGCTCTTCATTTGTGTCTCCCAACCAATTTCTAATCTCTCCATAATGTCTTTGCTTCCTGAAGAGCCTCATGCAGAGGCATTTGCTGGAAGCTTTTAAAAGGTTTGGGAAAATTCTACCAAGTTTCTCTGTGTGCCCCCTGGTCTGCCCCACTGGCTGTGAACCTCTGGGGGAGAGGAGCTCACCCTGCAGAAGCTGTGCTGCCGGGCTCCCCCATTCTCCTGTTCCAGAAGTGACAGATCCACAYGTCCCAGGGACATGGCTGGGATTAGGATCATGCCAGCATCATTTGGCAGGGATGAGGAGGGCAGCACCAAAGACCCTGATCAAGCATCTCCTGGTGTCCCCTTTGTTTGTGCTTTTCTGGAGAGGATCTACACACAATTTCAACACAGGCTGGGTTTCCGGGCTCCGGAGGAGATGGGTGTTATGCCAATAGCCTACATCAACGGCCAGGCTATTCCTGTCCTTGTTCATCCTCTCTCCTGCCTTGGCCAGCAGCCCCAAGAGCCCTCTCACAGGGCTTCTGAGTGTTGATAGGAGCATCTTCTGCACCAGGTTCCCCCTGCTCCCCTCCATTTGACCTCTTCCTGAGTTTATGATCCCAGCAATGTTTTTTCATGTTTCCTCCTTTAAAAAATGTTGCCCTTAATTATGTCGCTGTTCTTTGAGCAGATGCCACCTGTTAAACCCTCTCCTCATAGTACCAGGGGTGTGAACCAGCAAAGCCCTTGAAACAATGCTCTAGATGAAGTACATACTTTTTCTTCAAAATAAGCACTCAATTTTGTGAAGATGTGCTGAAGGTGAGAGTGATAGACTTTCTTTCATTGTATTAAATACCCTCCAGAAGAAGAAGTGGGAGCTGGGGTATGCAGCTCTGACTCAGCAAAGAGATCCACCAGCATGCCAGCAATGGGGAAAAATGAGTCTGCTGGCACTGTGCTCTGTTTTCCCCAAATATTGGTGAGGCTGTGCCTTTCCGAGGAGCTGCAGGACCCACTGAGGAGCAAAAGCACTGTGCAGACCTGGTCACAAGTTGTTCTATTATAAGAGCTCCAAGAATCGTGCCTGAACCATCTTGTGCCCAGCTAGGACAGAAACTCATTAGTAGTACTTAATTAGATTTATATTCAATGTGAGTTCCTTGCTATCATGTTCTGACCTAGTGGCCACGATTTCTCACTCCTTTCTGCTTCCCTGTAGTCAGGAATGGGGGGGGGGGGGTGTCCTCCTCCATGGAGAGGTGCTTCCCCCAGCCCTCCTGCCCACCAGCAGCAGCATCTACCCCATGCTRCTCTGCAGTGGGGTAGATCAGAGGTAGCCGAACCCTGACACCAGCTCCCTGCCCCTCTGGGGCAAYAATACCAAACCCTTGTGATGATATTCCTGTAATGCCAGTGATGGGTCTGGACAAGTCCCTTTAGGAATGCAACCCTAAACAGCCATGGGAACGTCACCTCAGCTCATGCTGGCCAGTCCCCTCTGTCCCCCCAGCAACCTTGTGCTCCACAAGAGGCTCGAACAGAAAACATCACGTTTATTGTTCACAATCAGCTTTACAAAAGAAGTGTYCCAACACGGGTGCATGTCAGGGGCCCCCTTCACGAACGTGCATTAGAGAAAGCGTGCGAGCAAGCGAGAGGAGGCAGCTCATCAGGGTGCACGAAGGTCACAGTGTTCCCACCTGGCACAAGGGCTGCTCCCCATCCCCACCATGCCCCCCCAGTCGGCTRAGCCACCCCAGCACTGGCAGAGACCCTGGGCGGGGAGATGCCGGGTGGCAGGGCTGTCCCTTCTGCTGGCTTTGCCTCCCCAGGGGCAGGGGTAGCTGTCRGACAGAGTGGGACTTGGGGTAGGGGAGAACACTGAAAGCTGAACACTGCATTGAGCAACCATGAGAGCCGCAAAATAACCCTCCCACCCCCCGACACACGCACATGTGCACATACACACACTCACATATTGAGACGTTGGTGACCACACAATGTAGAAACAGTGTATTCTCAGGCACTCCACAGGGAAAATACTGACCTGTCCCCTGACCCTCCCAGTTCCATGGCCAGTGGCAGCCCTGTTCCTGGCAAGGAGMAGCTAAAGAAGGGGACCTGGGTGGAATCAAGGGCAGTAGCCCAAGAGAGTACCAAAAAACTGGGGGATGGATGGCAGGGCTCCTTTGACCACCACCATCCTCCATCTCTTTTTTTTTTTTTTTGCTTTTGTTCCCTTCAATGGCAGTGCTGCACTCTTTCCCCCTCGGCCAGCGCTGGGGGTGATGCTTTGCCCCTTTCCCCCCATTCCCTTGGTGCTGGCCAGTCCTCCAGTTTGGAGGTGGTAGGGAGTGATCCCTTCCCTCTGCCTCAAAAGCCTGGCTCCCCTCGGGAAGCAAAGGCAGGGGCAGGGGTGCAGGGTAGAAGGTAAATGCTGCTCCACTGATGCTCCACCATTCTCCCTCAGCTTCCCTGGGGCTCCTGAGCAGGGCAGCAGGAGAAGGGATGGGGCTGGAGGTGAGATCCTGGAATGCAGGCTCATAAAACCAGACAGTGGGGTTGCTAAAAATAAATAAAGGGGATGTGTTCAGGTGATGCCTGCACCCTGGCATCCCACTGAGGCTGGACTGCACTCAAAGTAGATGGAGTTCTTCCCACTCCCTGTTGGAGCTGACAAGGTGAGGACCCTCAGTGTACCAAGGACACCTGCAGATATGGCAAGGTCCACCCAAAACCGAACTGGGGCAAGATGAGACTCAGGAGCCAGCCTGCCAGGAATGAGGACAAGCCACACCACCAGCACAAGGGACAACATGGAGGCTTCCAGGGGCCCCTCTCCCTCCTGGGACACCAGCATGGGGGGCTCAAGCATTGCCCCAGCAAGGCTTACTGGTCTGGGAGGGGAGAAAGGGGCTCCCTGCTTTGTGGCTGCCACTGGGCTCATTGGCGCTGGGGAGAGGGCTGGGGGCCACTCATGCYTTCCTGCCTTCTTCGCAGGCAGCAAAGCCCGCCTTGCTGGCACCGCCAAACACCTCCACTGCCTGGTCATCCCACTGAATCACATTTCCTTGGAGGTGGGAGGTGCAGTTGGCCAAGCCCAGGATCTCTGCTGGYGCCAGCATGTGGTCCCACACGCCAAACTGCGCCAGTTCTCCCACGAAGGCCTGTGTGGCATCAAAGCGGCCCCCCAGGGTGTCCTGGGAAAGAGTAGGAGAAGTGATTGGACAGGGATGAGGAGAGGAGGAACATGCATCCAGTGGGAAAACAGAGCAAGGGGGAGAGAGAGAAGTTTGGGGAGAAGCAGGGCAAGGTTTTTGATGGCAAGGACGGGAGGGGATGGATGCGTGGAAGAGATTCAAGACAAGACAGGGAGGTCAGGCAGATAGGGTGAGGAAAGAGAAGACAATGAGCCCATGTGGGCAGCTTGGAGGTCAGATGAACAGGCAGGAGAGCCAACTGCCCTGCTGAGCACTCCTGCCCAYGCTGCCCCCAGCTCTTGCCCCATTTGGGGGCTTTTCCCCCCAGCCAGTTCCCACTAGAGCAATGCTAACTGGCAGCTCTCGGTGTTGAGCCACTACATACCTGCTCCTGACCCAGGATGAGGATGCCATGGGGCTTGATGGAATGCCAGGAGGCCAGGTTCTCACCAGCACCCCGTTGTTCACCATCCTGGTATGCAGACCACTTGCCGTCCCGAGTGGTCCAGGCCACGCAGATGTGGTGCCAGGCCTTGTCCTTCAGGCTCAGTGGCAGCTGGGCGACCTTTGAGAGAAGAGCAAGATCCCGGTGCTTGKTAGAACTGTCATAGGACCCCAGCATTCTCCCCAGCCCCTCACAGGGCAAGCAAGTCATCCCCATGGTGCTGGCATCCCAAAATCTACAGACATCCAGATGAGCTGCTTCTCCCTCTCAAAACTCACCCCAATGAGCCATCCTCCTGCCTCCCACCATAAACCTAGGGCCCCTTCCTCCAAGCTCCCCCACACCAGTGACCCCACGAATATAATTTCCTAGAGGGATTGAAGCAGGGAAGATGAGGGCAGGGGCTTCTCTCCTGCCCCTTCTGCAAGTGGGCTGACCTTGTCATTGATGAGCAGCTCCAGGGGGTTASTGCCCCACTCCAACAGCACGATCTCATTGGCTTGGCTTGGGACAGAGTAGGAGAAAGGGGTTCCGAGCCCTGCCTGGGCCTTGGCCTTCAGCCACATGCAGATGGTGAAGGCGTAGAGCTCCGGCAGGCTCTTCTTCATGCGGGCGTACATGTAGTTGTTCTGCACTGGGATGGTCACCTTGAAGGCATCAGGAGGGCTGTAGCCCAGTGGTCCTACGTATCAAGGAAGGGGAGGAGAGAGGAAGGTCAGCACCTGGAACTGGGATGAGGGTGACCTGTCCTGGGGCTCTCCTGGCAATGTACCTCGGGGTGGGAACCCCTCACCCCACTTCCATCCTTGTTGGGCAGGACTCACCGTGCTCCAGCTCTGTCACCCGGTTCTGGAGGGAGTTCAGCTCCTTCTCGATGTTGTTTTGCTGCTGGCTGCGGTCAGTGCTGGCAGCCTGGCGCTCCTTCTGCAGGGTMAGGATCTTGGAAAGGAGCTGCTCCTCCAGCTGCTCCATCTTGGTGTGGAGGGCATCAGGGACRAGTGCTGGGGCAGTGGGTGCTGAGCCATTGGTGCGGGCTGGCAGCTCCTGCTGCATTTGGTGGCAGCCACAATGGAGGGAATAGGAGGGACAAAAGAGAAAATTCAGCACAGTGGCACTATAAGAGTTTAAATAAGGACATGTCCAGCCTGCAGCACTACAGGTAGAGCTGGGATGACAGTCCCATATCTGAACTGGGGTCTCCTCTAAGAGTCTCCAGCCGACTCTGGAGGTACTCCAGTACCTCCCCTCTCGGGGCCCCATTTAGCTCGTTACTGCAAATGAAGCTTGGCTGCTCTTAGTGACTTTTTGCTGCTTCAGAGACAAAGCAAGGATGGAACGTTTGGTTATCCCTTGGCTCTGCTCCTGCAGGCAGCCTCCCAGGATGAAGAAATGATGCAGGAAGGACTTTGGGGCTCCTGGCCACTCCTGCTCGTGAGGCTGCTTACCTATAGCCAGCATGTTAACATCACTTAATGGGGCTGTAATCCTCTTAGCCCAGCTCAGCCAGCATGCGGGGGTGTGTGCACGCGTGCCAGGTAGCTCTCCATAAGCCAACCTCTCCCAGGCCAACAGGATGCCATGGAGAACTGAGACCAGTGGCAGTTGTGTCTCTGGTCCTCAAGGCATGAGCCATCACCTGGGGACACCGAGCCTGTCTTGTCCCATCAGGGTTAACACTCAGACCAAAAATTCTTCTCATGGCAAATCCAACATGGCAGCTGGGGGAAGCTGCTACTGCACTCTGCAAAGATCAGAGATCCCATCTTATTGGGAGACCCCATCCCAGCTGGAAAAAGCAATCCTGGAAGAGAGCAGGTGACATTYTGCCATGCCTCTGGGGTTTCTCTGTAAACAGAAGCCCTCTCCTTTCCCTGAGTCCTTAGCACATTAGTGTCTCTGAAAGATGGTGACCACCTTCTTTATGTTGCCAGACCTTCCCAAAAGTGCTAGAGTGGCCATGGAGACCCTTGCCTTGACTCCTCCAGCACTGAGGGATCTGCATGGCTGCTTCAGCCCTGGACAATCACATGGCTTGTGCTGGCAGGATATGGGGGATGCCATCCCTTTTGATCTGAACAGCCTCTCCCCAGCCTCAGAGCTGGCCTGGAGGAAGTCAGCACATTCATCTGTGGTTGTGGCTTCCTGCTTTTTCTTCTTTCTTACATCCCACTTCTCCAGACTAGACAGGACTTGATAATCATGCACACAAAGTTGAAGAGGAGGGATGCCTGTCCATATCACCCCTAACCTTTGCTATTCATCATGAATAAGTGAGGGGAGGGGAAGGCTGGACGAAGTCAGGTTTGGCTGGGTTGGATGCAACCTTGGCAGATGGGAAAAAGCAGAGAGAGGAAAAATGAGARGATGATGTTGGTATGAGCACAAATGTACCTGCTCTAGGCAGCAAGATGCTCAGGCTGCAAATAAAAAGGAAGTTGTGATACCCCAAGGTCTGMAAGAGCTGCCAGCAGGGTCTGCTGAGGCAAATGCACAGGTTCTGTGATGAAAACCAACATGGAAAAGCAAAACTCAGCAAGAAAAGAGGGGTTGTGCAGGGGACATCTGCCAGTCCYGACCAAATGCCAGCTCTCGCTGCCAGCTTGCTCTGGCAGCATTAAGGATGCTCTTGCGGTGAGCAAAACCTCTCTGGGAAGGGAAAAGTGCCCAGCAAAGGGTATCCTGCCTTTAATCTTTGCAAAATGGAGAGATTAGCCAATGGAAAAGGGGCTTTAGATCTCTTGACTTTTTTTTTTAAGAGGTCTTGAGGATCTGCTGAATGAAAGGCAGGGTAGGGATCGCAGGAGAGAAGGGAAGGGAAGTGGAAAGGTTAATTCTCATCCTCCTGGCAGAATTAATTCCCATCTGGGGCTGCCTCCATTTGTAACCAAGCTGAGCTGGCTGCATTGGCAGGGGGCAGCACAGGTGGGATGGGGTTGCCTTCGCCTCTATGGCCACAACCCATGGGTTCCAAGAGCTTTTCTCATCCTTTCAGGCTGCCTGGCTACAGCGGAGGCTGGMACACTCCTGTCTGCTGCACGATTTGATTGCTCGAGCTGCAGGTTTGGAGCCTACGTCCCTCTTTTCCCTGTTTTCATGTACAGCTCCATCTGTTAATGACTAAAAAAGGAAAGGCTGATAGCTTTTGTCACCCTCACTAGYCCCTGGTAGCCTACATTATTCAGTAGTGACTGAGTGCTTTTTTTTACTGCTTTTTTCCCTGCTATTATTTTCTTCCCTCTGTAACTTTTCTCCCTATGGCTTTTTAATTTCTCTGGCTTCAGAGCATTTCTTCCTCATGCTTCCCTCCATGCCGCCCATACTCTCTCTCTCACCTTTCATTCAGTTTCTTCCCCCTTCCTGAGTTTTTCCCCATCAGTCCCCTCTCCAGCTCTTGCTGGCCCTTCCAGCTTGGCAAGCAGGGCACTGACAGCCAGAGCCACACAGCCGACTGAACCATTGCTGACCCCAKGCTCCTTCTGGAAAGGCATTGTAGCCAGTACCCTCATCTGGCAGAATTTCAGGGCCATCCCAGCAAACACCATCCATATCCCTGCAGCCAGATGATGGCTGGACAGGAGACTGGACTTCCCATTCTACTGCATGCAGCCGAGTTGTGCTGGATAATCCTCAATGGCAGGCTGGGCTGCATCTCCAAGTCATGATATTCATCTCCGAGCTGCCACTCAAGCATCTTTTTCACAAAGCAAATTATTTGCAAAATTATTAATGGTTGAYGTGCAGCTGTTATTTATTGGTGACCTTTGGGGAGGGGAGAGGGGTGAAGCGCCTTCTCCCCGGCTGTTCGTCAGGCACCCAGCTTCCCATCTGCCGCGCACAGGCAGCAGGGGAGTGGGCAGCGAGTGTGGGGGAGGCTCATTCCATGCTTTTGGCCACCAAAACCGGTAAAAAAGATTGAAAGATGCCAGGTAATATTAATCACGTTAAATGTCAGCGACTGGCAGGGGAGTGGGGAGGGGGAGGTGGGAGCAGGGGGCTGCGGCAGCCACGCTGCCATGTGCTCATTGGGGCTGGAGCCCTCAGTCAGCAAATGCACTTCAATTTACATAAGGAGATCACAGCCTCATTTACTAATGCACCAACAAATCTGGGTGTTGCTGCTCCCCCTCAGCCACCAGTACACCAGTGCCCACCTTGGCTGCTGGGACAGGGCAGGCAGGAGCATGGGACGATGCTTGCGGGAGGGAACCCTGGCACATCACAGGGATCWTGATGCTCAGCTGGGTGCACACACACAGCAGACACATTCAGTTCCTTGGACCCATGAATCCTTCCAGCCTGCACAAAACTCCTCAGTGGCTGCCACTCTGGGATGCTGAGTGCTGCAGGATGGCACACCTGCTGCACAGGGGTTTTTTGGACCCTGCCACCTCTTTGGACCCAGGCAGGACTGTGGAGATAATTACACGCCATCAGGGACTGCATGGAATAGAAGACAAACAGGGATGCATCAGCCTTTAGCTCTTCCTCACAAGGGAGAAGCTCACCATTGATCCTGTCCCCCTGAAACCTCACWCAGGGGAGCCTAGAACTGTCACAGTTTGGGTATTTACATCCTTGCACTGCTGGAGATGAAGACAGAAGGGAAGCAGCTAGGTCACTGCCATTCCCACTCCCTTACCCAAAGGTTTCCATCAGCAGCCACAATGGCACAGCCATGTACCAGCTGAGGAGCAAACAGGCTCCTGTTGCAATTCCAGCAGGTCCCCCATGGAGCCCACCAGGCTGTCCCCTCTCCCGCTCTCCTGCAAGGGATGATGSGGAGAAAGAGGACATCTGCATCTCGGCACAGTGCAGGCAGCCAAGGTGATTSTCTCCCCAGTCCTTTTCCATTTGCAGTAATAACTAAAAGCACGGAAAGAGAGACCTGGGTCCCTTGGCTCTGCATTCCAAGATGCACCTGAGTGTACAGACATGAGTACGTGCTCAGAGAAAGGGGGAGACCCTCAAAACCAGGATGAAAAAGCCTTACCAGGCTGCTGTGCATGAGGAAAGGATGATCAGTGCCTCAGGTGGCATTAGGAGGAGGTGAGGGAAAATGTGTGAATGCTGTGCTGATGCTAGCACAGCCCCATGGAAATGGCAGGGGACAAAGAGCAAGGCCAAGGGGGCCCTTCCTGCATCTTCCCCTGGGAAATCCTTCTGCCATGCTGACAAAATTAAGAAGCAAATGCCTTAATAGGTTTTTCAGTGCATGAATAAATCTTGTTATGCCTTACAGACAAGACAGAGTGCCCAGATTAGATCAGCAATCTTCCACCAGCCTCCTCCCCTCAGTCCCAGCTCTGAATCAGTCARCAGTAATCCCTGCTGGCAAACCTGCCTGGAGATTCCCTGGGATGAAGCCTTCCCAGAGCAACCCATGGCATTTTGTGTCATCTCTCTTCTGAGACTAAGCCACCACAGGCTTGGCAGCATTTCTTCTCCTTCCCAATGGGTTTTGCAGAGTCCTCAGCAGATGAGGGCCACCCGGGACCATCCCCATCCAGGTCACCTTTTGGGATGATCCTTGCCACCATCCAGGATAGCTGTGGGACCTGTGCCTCCCATGTCATGGGGTACCCTTAGGAAGTTTCCCAGAGCTGACAGCTGGAACCATGAAAGACAGAAGAGAGAGGTACCCCACCATGGAGTTTTAGGTGCTTGTGGCATGGGGTGGGAGGCAATTTGGTGAGGGAGGCCACAGTCAACCATCACTGGATGGCCAAGGTGTGACCACAATGCTCAGTTGGCTAGGCTGCTGCCATCACAGGGGTGTCACACAGGCAACACTTTTTACCAGGAGGGAGCCAGGACAAAGTCCAACCAACCTGCAACATGCTGTCCTATTTCCTCACCTGGCAGTACTCACTGAGCCTCAGGATGCTGTGTCTCCCCTGCAGAGCATATTTGGGACCCTCAGGCCCTGGATAACACAAAACCAGACATTTTTGGCTATGTGCCACTTGCCTTCCCCATCAGTGTGTGCATGAGCCTCGTCCCAGCATCACTTCAGGCTTCCTGGATGCATGTGAGAGCCTGCTCCGATCCTTGTGAGCTTCACCCTGCTCTTCCACTCCAAACCTCCCACCATCATCGGAAACCCCAGGGGAGRAGCCAGGGCAGCTCATGGGTGATGCTACCTCACGGAGAAGGGGGAGAGCATGGCTCTATAGCCTGATGCTCCCCAAGAGCCAAACTGATGTGCTGGGCACCAGCCCACGGTGCATTGCATGGTCTTCATGAACACGCAGGTATATGTGTGCAGGGACTTCCCTGCTTTGTTTCTGGGTGAGCACACCTGCTGTGTTATTCCACTGATGAAAGACAGAATCATTTGTTTGGGGCTGCAGGGTTTTTGTATTTTTGGAGGGTTTTTTTTTTTTGTTTTTTGGGGTTTTTTAGGGGGGGGTGGGGGGCAGTCCGTCTCTCCCTTTGGCTGCATTTGGCTCTCAGCAACATGTCAGACAGGCAGCATGTCCCACTCTCCCAGCATGTGCCTGGCGTGCCTCTGTGTTTCTTCTCATACCTGTGTGTGCATTATCCTAGCAGCATACAGGCGCTTCCTCTGGTCTTCCAGCTCTTTTCCTTCTTGTGTGCATGAGTTTACTTGCCTTTCTCTGTCTTTCTATTCCTCTTCATATAGCCATTAAAATAATCCTCTCTCCCAGTCTCATTCTCAGCCTGTGACCTTAGTGGCTCTGAATTTCCCATCTGTTTCCGGCTGCTGTGCCCACATGGCTGTAGTGAGGGGGCCAGAAGGGGAAAGCTGAGGAGAGGGACCCCATAGGGTGCTGCATGACCCCCCTCTTAGCTCCACACTCAAGGGAGTAGTGGAGGCAACAGCAAACTGAATAAGAAGATGAGAAGGTTGAGGACTTGTAGGAAGCTCCTTGTAGGTGGCTCTGGCACCTGACAGACCTCAGGGAACTGCCCTTACCTGGTGCAAACCCCACCGGGAAAACAGACAACTCTCCTCTTGCAGCTCTCACGTGCCAAGATCATTGCCACAGTCATATCCTGCAAAGTCTGCCAAGGTCTGTGGGACTGCTGAGCCCACATCAGCCCAAATAAATCAACACTCACATGCACTCAGTGTGGTACCCCATGACGGGCATTGCGGTAGAGCCTTTGGTGCCCCTGGCTTGTGGTTGAGCCAGGGCTGAGCCTGCCCTGGCACATGCTGCACAACTGCTACAGAGTGGGGACCAGAAGTCTGCATCCTAAATGCCACCAGCCCAATGTCACAGGAATGGGCACAGCAAATTACTCCAGCTGTGCCCTTCCCTCTCCAGCTCCTATGGACCATGTGGGGAAGGGGCGCCAGGCTCACAGCGGGTGGCACTGCCACTACTTTGTGACAAGTCCCATTCATAAACATGATGGCATCAGGTGGGATTTACCTTTTTGTTAAGGGCACGATTTCACCCTGAACTGCCAACTTGCTCTCCTCCTCAAGAAGGAGTCCTTGGCAGGTGCTGTGGGGCAAGCAAGGTACCCTATCGGGGTGCAGACTAGGGGGAAAGTGGGGCAGCCCTGGTCCTTTGGGACTACCCTGCATAGAGGGAAGAGAGGGGGACTGGAGGTGAGTCCCTTGCCTCTGGGCAGAGATCTCGGGAGAGTAAAGCAAGGACAACCTTCCTGAAGCCTCATGGAGAGGATGAGCTGGTTCAGGGTGCATGTGGCTGCAGGCCTGGGGAATGGCACCTGTGGGAGCATCTTTCCCTGGAAGCATCCCTCCCAGACCCCCGGGAGCATCTCTCCCACCTCTATCCGGTCGATTCGGTCCTGGAGGGTGCGGACAGCTTCCTCCAGCTCCCGCACGGCGGGCGGCTCGTCGGGCGGGTGGCCCATGGTGCCGGGGCGCGGGGCGGCGCGGAGCCCGGCGGCGGCGGGGGGCGCGGCGGCCGGGGGGCTCCGCAGGCCGCCCTCGCAGCGGCTGAGCTTGCCGGTGAGCTCCCGGATGGTCTCCTGGTCCATGCGGATCCGCTCCTTCTGCTCCAGCGCCGTGCGGCGCAGCTGGGCCGCCGCGCTCCGCAGCGCCAGCAGCTCTTCGGGGCCGGCGGCGGTGCCGGCGGCGGTGCCGGTGCCGGTGGCCGGGCACTCGGTGCTCAGCGGGGTGCAGACGAAGCGGCTGAAGAGCGGTGGCCCCGCCGTCAGGCGCGGCCCGGCGCTGGCCAGAGCCTCGGCGGGGCCGTGCAGCGCTCCCAGCCCCTTGTCGGCGGCGGGCAGGAGGGCGGCGGCGGCCGAGTCATTGTCGGCGGCGGCGGCGGGCGCGGCGGTGCCGGCGGGGTGGACGCTGGCGATGATGCAGATGATGGCCCCCAGGAAAGCCAGCATGCCCGCCGCCAGCAGCACCGCCAGAAACTTCAGGGTGGCAGCGGCGTGGGGGGCCCGAGCCCGCGGACGGCGAGAAAACAAAGCGGGCGGGGATGGAGGGGGAGACGGACGGTCGCAGGGATGGACGGGCAGCCCGGAGGGAGCTCACGGAAAAGGACGGTACCGACAGCARCACCGGCGCCCCGCCGCGCCGCGCCGCGCTTATATGTGCCGGGCGGCGCCGCCCGCACCGCACCGCACCGCCTCCGCCACCGCCCCCGCGCCAGCCCCGGCCGTGCCCCCGGCCGTGCCCCTCTTAGTGACCCCCTTCCCGCTGAGCACCCTCCCCGGGCCGCAAGGGCGACGGTCCGGGCGGTGGGAAGCGAACGGGCGAGGCGACGGGAAGGCGAGGGAGGGCACACCGGGGGCACCCGGGGACGGGGCCAGCTCTGACTCGGGCTCGCTGAAGTCAGCCCGACAGGAGCCTCCGGCGAGAGGATGCTGACCCGGCACAGCCCGAGGGAGGATTTTTCCCCTGCGAGATGCGTGGGCTGGAAGTAAAGGGCCCCCTGACAMCCCGAGGGTGAGAGCCTCGCAATCAGTCATTCCCTGTGATGGTCTTTTGGGCCTTTTCCTCTTTGCCTTTCTCCCAAAAATGAAACTAGCAAGCCTCCTAGTTGTCTTGCTTTCCCACCTCAGACAGGGCTGTTGCAGAGAGCTGCCATGGGATGCCTCACCCTCTGCCCTATATCCCCATGTTATCCATTTGGGAAGTAAATACACGCATTTAATTTCCCCCCACCATCACTCTAGTCTGAACTGCTCATAAACGAGATACTTCAGACAACCWCTTTCTCCTTGCTCCAACAGAAGCTGTGCCATGCCCTCTCCTGTTCCCCAGGCACACTGGGGCTTTGGCTATACATCCCCGCCGAGAAAAGAGGTGCAGAGGAGGGAAAGTGAAAAAAAATCAATTTCAAGCTCTACTCAGTAATGGCAGGAAATCCTTCCTCCCCGGCAGGGAAGCAGGAGCATGTGTGTTTAAAACAGCTCCAGTGCTGGATATGAAACAACAGTAAAGATTACATCTTCTTTCCCCCCAGGCATATTTGAGTGGATAGCAAGGAAGCCAGAGCTACAAAGACTCCTCAGATTTGGTTCTTTGGGAACAAAGAGGGGAATATTGTGGACAAGGTACAGTCACCCTTTCTCCCCACAGAGTGCACTGTACCCCAGCCCCCCAAAACCCTCACCCTGGAGCCAGCAAGAGACCTGCCTGACTTGTTGGTATTGGAAGGATGTGGGGAGGAGAGGAAGACATATAGGGTGGTTTAAGGAAGAGGGAGAGGTGAASGGAATGATGGGGAGGAAAAGTGAAGGTGGACATGGAGCAGGCTGAGCAGGTGGATGTGAAGAAAGCCCAAGCAACAGGCATCGGGCTCCGGTGGCAAGTCCAGTGAGCACTCCAAGAGGGTGAATTCTTGGTGGGACAAGTGGGCACTGGTGTGGGATGCAAAGGAATTAGAAACCTGCACCCTATGRTGTGAAGGGATGCCACCTGCCTCCAACCTGCCCTTGCTGACAGTGACAAGGGATTGCACACTACTGTCTCACCCACTGCCTGCAGCATGCCCACCCTGACAGTGGCCAGGCAGGAGTGGGCTTGAAAGGAACCCACGTGAGTGCTGGACCAGCCCACTGTACCCCACAGTGTGCAGATCAGGATGGCAGGGGTATTCTTTATCTGCAACCCTGCAGGAAAAAAGTGTCACTTGCTTCTACAAACCTTGCCAAAAGTGGTGTTGTCCTGGGGACTTTGCACTGTCCTGAACATCCAGATTTTATTGCCAAAGGTTGTGGGATCATGGTGGCAAGGTTTATTCCTGTGGCTAATGCCACTGTGGCAGTGAGGGGTAGGGTAAGCCCCTCTGCACCAGCTCGGCCCCACTTACCCATGCTGGGATGGGGAAGAGCTGGGTATCACAGCTCATTGTTCCCATGGTCCCGACCTCTCCCTCAGCAGAGACCACAATTCCTTTCCCGAGACAAAGAGGTGGCAAAAATAGATTTGCACAGGGGGTGATGACTCAGACTGGTGAGTAGCCAGAGCAGCCTCCCTGTCCCATGGATAACAATTCAGAGATGCTCGGTGGGCAGCCAGCCCAGAAAGGACACAGCGCTGCCAAAACCCTGCCCTCCTGTGCGTGACAGGGTGGGGGAAGGCAATGTGGGGGCTTTGGGAGCTTTTGGTTCCTGTTTTGAACAGCATTGGTGACAGAAGCTGGATTTAACAAGAGCTCATGGATTCATCCCAGAGGGACTGGGAGCGAGCAATTAAAGGATTTTCTTCCATCTAATTAACACCCAAAAGGTGTCTGGGGCTGGCAGCTGTCCCCAAGGGATGGCTGCAGGCAGGRCAAGGTGGGACAAGGGGTTACCCTGCTGTGCCCCCAGGTTGAGAGGGACATTTGAGATGGACTGCTGGCTTGAGGGGAAGGACAGCCACTGCTCCAAAGCTGCCCTGCATCCAACCCTCCTCACAGGAACCAGGCAGCTCCATCCCAGCATGAAACCCTGGCCCATTCATGACACTAAGGCCAGCAGGGTGGGGAGGTGAGGGAAGGGGAGAACGTTTTCCCAGGAGAGGGTAACCTGATGCTTCTGGGGTGGGGAATTCCCTCCTCCCAGGTTATCACCGAGCTCAGGAGCATCCCCAGAGACACCCCAAGGAGGTGAAAGGGCTCCTGTGCCACTGCCACTCCATAGACTCAGCTCCATCATCTCCCTAGACCAGGAGCCTTCAGTCCATGCTGCCTGGAGATCKACAGGTTCTACATAGAATGGAAATCCTGGCTTCTTTCATTTCCAGGTTTTTCCCGCCCTGCAGATATGATTTGCATCACCTTGCCCTGGTTACTGGGCCTGCCTGCACCAGCACACTGGTTCAGGACCATATYGGATGTGCCCAGTCAGGCTGGGGTCTGTCCAGCCTTCCTCCTGCTCCAGAAAGCATGCACCTATGAGATTTGGCTCCATTTGGTGTTCTCAARTCCAGTCAAAAGCCCAGTAAATTCTGAACAAAACCAGGGTGCAGGGACAAGGGAGGAGGGAGTGCCAGCCTCACAAGTGTTTTGGCATGCAGCAGAGGCAAGGTGAGACTGATGGTGTGACGTGACTGACAGCTTGGCTGTGCTTGGCTTTAGTGGGCAGCATTCCCTGCTGCCAGCCACGTCACCACTGGAGTAGACTTTCCTGTGGCTTTCCAAAACTCAGACACTGCAGAAGAATCTCAAAGCAGCAACTCCCTCCTAAGGAACACCCAGCGCAGCCCAATCTCTCCCCTCCAGGTGAGATCACATCACACCCTCCTGAAGGGCAGCCCTGAGGTGTTTTGGTTGGAGCCGTGCCCAGCCACTGCCCTTTCCCAGTACCCAGAAGTGCTGCCTTCCTGCCCTTCTCTCCTGCCTGCCTGAAGRGCATCTCTGTCAAAAACCCACTCAGTTGCCCCACAGCATCTCCCACCTCCAACATTTCTCCCCTAGTTTTGCTGATGTCTTGGGGTGATTTTATGATAATCATCTGCTTTATGCCCAGAAATGGGTCCTGTAGCTGTAAGCAGGGTCGGGGGAGAGGGGGTGGGAGCCGGGGATCTCCAGCACGGCTGTTTTTTTGTTCAAGGACTCTCTCCCTGGCGCTCAGCTTGCAGCACAGAGGAGTTACCATGATACATTCTTGCTTTCAGCGAGCTTGCTCTTGTTAGCTGCCGCAAGATGCTTTCCCGGGACTGCAATAGCAATTTTTCGGAATTTTTCTGTGCTTTCTTCTGGAACTGYTCAGCTTAGCTTTGGGTCCAAAAACCAGACATCAGTAGGGAGCTGGACATCACGAATCAGYGGAGAAGCTGTGGGACACTGTATCCAGGCTTCGGACCTTAGAAGCGCAGCCAGCAAAAGAAGGGACTCCAAAAAAATCCACCAGCTTTCTCTCCAGCAAGGAGACCAAAGACTTAATACTACTGCTAATAATTTTTTCCCATGCCCTGCAAGCACTTTGTTTGTTAAATAAACAGGTTTTTTTTTCACTTTCATTCAAAACACTMATTTCATATTGGTGGGAAGGGATTGCCGGACCCCCCTTTAGAGGAAATGTCCATTCCAGAGTATTTTTTCTACACTTGTCTCTAAGCCAAGACAGCTGAGCCTTTTTATGCAGCTGCTATGGGCTAGACAGTAAGGAATGAATCTGGGGCTTCATTAACACATAGGGAGAGGATTTTTCACCACATTTCTTAGATTAACATGTCATAAAGTGCACTTAAGCAGTGTTCTGGAGTTGGGAAAAGTGTAAACCGTGTTTCAGCCAACAAGTACTAGGTTGCACTCAGATCTAATTTAATTCTTAAAAGAAAAGGATGTGGGAGACCCAGGGGGCATTTTCCAAAGCACTTGGGAAGAGGTGGTTCAGGTTCCACTTGCTACATTTGGATTTCCCAAATGCTCCATTTTCCCTTAATGTTCCAGAATACTCCCTTGTTTTTTRTCAGAGCTTCTCTGTGTCCAGAAAGGTCCAAAGCACAAACCAGGACTGATCCATGGTGCCCACGATGGTACCAGGTGTTTGTGTTTGACTGCAGAGCTGATCCCTGCTGGCTCAGGCCAAGCATTTCTGTAGCCCCACTCCTAAGCTCCACATCTCATAGCCCACCCAAGGAAACAACAACAGGTTTTGGAATGTAACAATTTATTTGGGTTAATTTTTTTTGTTTTAATTTTTAACTCCCCATTCCTGGCATTGATACAATATTCAAGAGCAGCAGAAAGAACAAAATGTACAAGAATACAAGAGTAATCAGCACAACCCCCACTCCCAAACCTGGAGCAAACCAGTTTTTTGTGGGAAGCACCGAGGGAAGGGGTGATTCAATCACCCCTCCAGTGGGCTCTGCCTCCCACCCATCCACTTTAGACAGAGTTTAGCCAGCTAGGAACTGGATTAAAAAACAAAACAAAACTGAACAAACACTATATTTAAAATGAAAAATGCAAGACAAAAAAATAATATAGATAATACAATTCATCCGTGCACAATCCTTAAATGCATTTTTTTCAAAAAAAAATTACAAGATACATATTTAGTTTTATTTTAAATTAAAAAAAATACC